AATAAATTTGGTGAACGTACCGAAGAGACTGCTGCATAATTATATCGCCAAGAAATGATCGGAGAAGCGGTAAGAAATACTATACGTAGTATACGTAACAGATGCACCACACCACGCACTAGCTCTGCTTCTCTCATCTGAACAGAGGGGCTGGAGGTATTACAATAAGACCGAGGTGCCATGAGCAAATAGCGAGATGCTTACCTACCCTGAAGGAATAACGCCTGTTCTGAGAATACATTGCCACGCGGCAGTTATTGATTTATTATGACGTGTTTGCGGAGGGAGCAACGAAGCATAAAACGCGGCCGATTGAGCGGAGCGTCCAGTTGTGTCTACTTTATTTCGTCGTCATTTGCAGGCACGCGGACAGCGTCTCGGCAAACGTGCTCGTCAAAAACGCAAAATATATGTAGTTCGTAGCACTATCTCGAGACGATACAATATCGTGGGGGTGAGTGCCAGCGCCACTCAGCTAAAAATGTTCAAGTTCAAGGCTTTCGCTAAGGGTTTAGAAGCGTACACGACACCATTTCATAGAAATAACTGAACGTGCTAAAGGTGGTGCCTTTCAAGTAACTCAAAATCAAGTAGAGTAGGCACACATACACTTACCTTTGAATTATGGAAAGAACGCTAATGGAAACGCTGGAACCTTCGGCACATTGTTAATATCGGCGGCAGCTGGGTCCGCAGCACTGCTCCATCGCGAGAGCTTGCAGGTGCACGCTATGTGAACATTCATTGAACGAAACACTTCACATCACCCTGCAGCGCTTCCCAGATGCGGAAAAACACGTTCATGTTCATGCAGTCGCCCAAAGAAACACTAACACTCAATGACAGGCTTCATCAGGCTTAGCAATCCTGCAATCTCGAACGGCGAGAGCATGCATGCGCACGTCTACTCGGCAGGAGACGAGTGTCAAAACTGAGTGACGTCAGAGGCAGTGCTCGGAGTAGTGAGCAGGCCGGAATTATTTTTCTAGGTGGCATTGGCACAAAGCCCCCCCCGGAGACCATCCGCTCGCCCACTGCGCATGCGCCAACTCTCCCCCTTCTCATCACGCAAGGTGAGGGGAGGGAGGGGTGGTGCATTGCAGGAAGAGTGCTCACGCCGCACACTGGATTGAGCTCCACCACAAGCTGCTTCGCGTCTAAAATCGAGTGAAAAAAAAAGGCAGATCCCACGTACAGGAATCGATTATATGCGAAGCATGAATGAGGAAGGTTGATACGCCACTTTGAAATCGGCAGAACCTTACGAGTCAGGCGTAAATGTAGCTGTACATGACTTCCATGTCATAAATTTCATGTTTTCGCTTGGCATTTGTGTTCATCGTCCATTCACGTCACGTAATACGAAATTTGGTATATGAGAAGCTAGCGAAACAGCTGCGAGACCATCATAAGCATGGCATGTAGTCATGTTCTTACGTGACATGCGTGTCATGATAGTATCATGTTCGTACCAGTAATATACCTTCGTGATCTATTCTTGTCTCGTAATACCAAATTCAGTATATGTGAAGCCAGCGAAACGACTGCGAGCGCACAATGAGCGTGGCGTGTAGTCATGACTTACATGACATGCATGTTATGATTTCCACGTTAGGGCCTGTCACTTATGTTCCCCATGCAATGATGTTGTTACCACATGTCATACTATACCAGTTTCGCAATACGTCATGCGAATAAAACCACCGCAATAGCCGCTAGACCATAACATGTATACTGTTTCGTATTGCAAGAAGGTCACACTTTTATTTAAGAGCGGACATGAGCTCAGAAAAATATGTGAAATAAAATTAGTTTGCGAAAACACCCAACCAGCATATCGGGTCACTGTCACGAGCACGACGCCGAGGAGCATGTCTCGCGGCACCGCGGGAAGCTCGCGCAGGCGCTCGACATTGTAGACGCTTGCATAGCGGCTCGCTGGTTCTCCTGGTAGAAATCTCTTTGAAAGAAGTTTTTGTGGCACTATTACGACAGTCACGACATACATATCTTGATTTTCATGTTATGACTAGTCACTTATGCTCGACGTACAGTCATGTTGTGTGATACGAATTTTGGTATCGATCCGATTATTGAAACGGCCAGGAGAGCTAAAAGTCGTAGGTGGCTAGATAGATAGATAGATAGATAGATAGATAGATAGATAGATTCAATATGTCTGAAGTTTGCTAAGAAATGCTTCGCATTTAATACGAAAAGCACTTGTGGTAGCGCCGGAGAAAGAGAAATACAAAAGTACTCGGTATAGAATGCTCACTGAAGCATAGGTAAGCTTCGCCAGCGCCAATGGGTGTAGTACGTAAACGCTACTGTACCTGCACACAACAGCATCACTCGTTATTAACTTGCCATGGGATAGCGTTAAAGAGCTCGTGTCGCAGAAAACCCACCACCGGCGTCTGCCCCATCGGTTGTGAGCGAAGAATCGCCTGTGACCAAAAAATCAAGTTACTGAGATAACCGCGGGAGGCCGCTACTTCTCCACGCGCTCGTGCGCGATCACACTGAGAAAGCCGCACATTCGAGGAAAAAAGAAGTGCTCAAGGTCACAAGGCGTGGTAGTTTCTTTGCCGTGCCACTCCTCCCTACTTAGCTCCCAGCGCTTTCGTCGGGACGAGAGAAGAGGTAATGCAATAGGTGACCGGTAATATGGGCAATCGCAGGGAACTGTGGGATACGATGACTTCGGATATATGATATGTTGGGTTTAACGTCCCAAAACCACCATATGATTATGAGAGACGCCGTAGTGGAGGGCTCCGGAAATTTCGACCACCTGGGGTTCTTTAACGTGCACCCAAATCTGAGCACACGGGCCTACAACATTTCCACCTCCATCGGAAACGCAGCCGGGATTTGAACCCGCGACCTGTGGGTCAGCAGCCGAGTACCTTAGCCACTAGACTACCGCGGCGGGGGCGATGGCTTCGGGGTCGACGCATCACACGGGTTAGCAGCGGCACGCGCGCATTTTTGTACAGCTCCGTTGAAAAAAAAAACACCTCTCCGTGCAATGTCAGTGCTTTAGAAGTTGTTGTTTTTGTTTTTGCTAACCGTGACTGTGACGATGACAAGCGACGAAAGCCATGAACGGCAAAGAAACGTTTTTATCGCACTAAAATGATCTGCAATGCTTTTATGCTGCTCGGATTACTGTCAGTTTGGCTAGCATATCTGTCGATACAGAAAACAGTTTTCATTGCAAGATACGTTACTGCTGATAACAAAATCACCATTTTAAAGATCTCAGGGGATGGGGATGACTGTAGCAGTGTACTAAGAGTTCGTTTCGGGATCGTTGCGTTGGCCGACATCGTTAGACGATCGGCATGAAGCGCAGCACTTGTTGGGTGCGTTGAGATATCTTTTTTTCTAGCCTCCAGCGCGCTATAAGATGTATTTCTTAGTCGACACCAGATGCTTATTTGAACGCTAATCTTGGTCAAGCTGCTCGGCACGGCGGCACATAAACAATGCAGTCAGACATAGACGGCGCCGAACAATCGACACCCTGCGTTTTTTAACGCACTTGTTCCTTTGGGTGCCGTCCTGGCGCCCAGTTTGACAAAAATAACGCAAATGGACTCGCCCAGTGCTTCGCGTAAACGTACTCTTGAGTGAAGGTTTTGTGTTTTTTGTCATAAATATGAGTGCAATGGCCGGTGCTCATATCGTATGGCAAGTCGATTTCACCCGCGCGTTCCCATAATATATCTGTTAGGTACTTGCGCGACAATTTATTTCTCAATATAATATTCGCAGGAAATGCATGCGTAAGCCTTTTTTTGTAGTGTGGAATACACACATATCTGTGATAAAATGGTTTTCGCACACTCAGGCTTCGACGTTCCGTATATACTCAAAGGCTGTCTGTCGATGTGGCTCTCTTCACAGCCGCGGCCCACCTCATTTTTCTTCCGCCTTTCCATGGGAATCGATACACGCCGTTTGCCTTTCATGCTCAAGTTGGAGCAGCCAACGGCTGAACAACCAACCATGGTTTATCAGGACGAAGATTAACGGGCGACCGCGCGCGCGAATCCTGAATAATCTGAGGCTAGCGGCGAAGTGGTTCGCCGTCGTCTACTCTTCTCGAACCGGAAGCCGGTAGCAGACGGTGCATCCCACAATCCTCTCGCTCTTCTACTGGTCACCTACTGCAGCATGCGACAAACTTTTGTAACTCCACTCGCACTGGACGGATTCTTAAAAATTCGGACTGGACGGATTCTTAAACGTTTTCCAACTAACTGAAGATTGCAAGGGTATACAGTTATTTTCAAAGGGGAAGATAAAAACGATCTCGATAACTATACGCCAATCTCTATTTTACTTGTGTCTTCGAAGGTTATAGAAGAAGCAATAAATCGCAGACTTAAATTTTTTTCAGCAAAAGAACATTATCGTGAAAAATCCCGGCCGTGGCGGCTGCATTTTCGATGGAGGCGAAACTTCTTAAGGCTCGTGTGCTTAGATTTAGGTCCGCGTTAAAGAACCGCAGGTGGTAGAAATTTCCGGCCCCCTCCACCACAGTGTCTTCCATAATGATATAGTGAATTTGGGACCTTAAACGCCAACAACAATTATTATTTTTACTAATTTTGTTGGGCCAACATAGCTGAACAAATTTGTTTTACCTTTGAAGGGGGATTGCGCAGGCGTTACCGATCGGCCCATTTCAAATGGATTACCTTGCAGTCGCTTGTACACGAGAACCGCTATAGGAGTAGGCAGCAAGATAGGCGACGCTAGAGAACACGGCGGGTCACTTCCCGTAAAGATACACATGTATATGTTACATTGCCACGGGATCACGATCATTAGATTATTGTGATAAATTTCAGTGGAGTATGGCGTAATAACACGCTGTTTAACGCCCACTCTTAGTAATGATGTCGCATGGCCAGTTTTGGCGGTTTTTTGCTCACAAGTGCATGTTCGTATTGATTTCACATGAAAGCATTCTCGGTTTACTCACTAAAATAAATTACTTTCAATTTATTCGCACAACAACCCAATGTACATCCTCTTTGGAAAATTTTATTCATTCTACGCGTTCACTTCACTGAAAGCATATTGTCTAGCAGAAAATACATTTTCAGACAGCTGTGTAGCCACCATCAATAGGCAGTACCACCCCTGTTACCATGGATGCCATATCGCTGAGAAGAAAGAGCACCACATCTGATATTTCCTTTGTCTCTGCAAATGAAACAGAAAAAAATAACATGTCACTCTAAAATTCAATAAAATCTGAAAATTTTCGACCCAGAACCTCAACATGATTGTGAGGCACGATGTATTAGGGGGCAACGAATTTGCTTTGAACACTCTAGTTCTTTAAAGGGACACTAAAGGGAACTGATAAGTCGACGATGATTGTTAAAAGGTGATCCAGGACCTCATAGTGTTATTTTTGTGCCAACGAAGACCTCATTTTGATATAAAATGGCGTTTTAATGGTTCACACTGGGTTAGCACATTGCAAATTAACCGCTCTAAAAGAACGTCTGGCGTCACCCCATCTTAAGTGCGTGGTAACCGACACTATAGTAGCAACAGAGGGAAAGTATCCACAGCACAACAACGACTATTGAACAAGTTTTAGCCATGACATTCAATATTGCAGGCGTGCTTAGTTCAACTGGGCCCCGCTAGAAGGCTCGACATGCCCATTTTCACCAGGTGAAAATGGAATTTTCGATCCACTAGCGCCTTTTTCTATAGAAACTTCCAGAGGTTCTTTTTACCGTTAATCAAAGAGAAACGAACAAGCAGCGTTTTATTACGTCTTTTGATGCACGGAAAGTTCTTTCTTTAGTGCAGCTAGATTGATTACTAGGGATTAATTGGAGGCGGTTTGTCTGACGTCTTCTGGCTCATTTTGCGAATGTCCTACTGTGGTGCATTTGTTCTCGTGTATTTACTCTAAATTATTGGTAAGTAGGGCACTGCTGTGGATATTATTGTCGTTTTAGACGTCGTCATACATTGAGCTTTCACTCTGCCGTAAATTGTTATTTGACTTTAGTGTCCCTTTAAGGCGCACCTATATATAAGTGCGTAGGTATTTTCGGATACCGCTGCATGAACGAAGCTGCATAGAACTGCAGCTTACATGATATTTTATCAAACAGCCAATTTATAGTCTTTTTTGCGCATTTATGTTGACGGACAGCCACAATCAGTGAATACGTCACTACCATTTACGTTTATGAAAAGGTCTCTGTAGAGGTTTGTATGTAGGATATTTCAGAAAATGCACTAAAAGTTTTATAAATATGAGGAAGGTGCCACAATTAGGCCCCTTTCTCGAGACCACACATACCTCACAGATATAACGGTGAAAATTATTACAATTGTCAAAGTTTTACGTCCCCAAAACAACAATGTTATATTATGAGGGATGTCGCGGAAGTTACGACCATCCGGTCTTCTTTACCGGACATTTGATACTAAGAACATCGCCTTCCAGAATTTTACCTACATCGAAACGTGGCCGCTGTGGCCGGGATTCGATTACACGATTCGATTCAGCAATCTTTGAAAATGATTCGAGGCAGTAACGAAATAAATAATCATCAAAACTAAAGCGACCATTTCTACTCAAATGGTGAAGGCAATTGACCTCGAGAAAATACTTCAAGTACATCATCCATAATGTTCATAACGGGTCGCCAGTGGTAAAAAATCTAACGCTTCTAGTTTTTGCATCGTAAAGACTGTCAGCAGTTTCTTTCGGTTAAGAGAAACAGAAACCATAGAAGACTGTAGCTGCCATAATCTTGAAGAATGGTCATAGGACTCATGCTTTTCATGCCTTCTTGTCGCTCATGCATCAAGCGAATATTTTTATTATAACCGTAATTCTGCATGTTTCATGCTAAACCACTACGTCCCTCATGGGCTCTTTGTATGTGCATGAAGCCAACACCCATTGCGTAGCAGATTGCACATACTTCACAGGTATATTCAGCAAAACTTTGAAAATGATTATATTTGCTGGGCATTTTTCCTTTTGTTTTTTTTTTCACATACGAAACAAATAACGACCACTACAAATTATGGCCATCAGGTGCTACGGCATTTGCAGTCGTAGAATATATTTTGTTAACATGGGACCAGATTCACAGATCTGCGAGTTCACTAGCGCTCCTTGACGAATTGTCCGGTCGCTCAACTTGCACTACGTGGAGTATTTTGATTGGTGATATGGGCGCTTTATTAGACACTCCTACAGAGTGACGCTGTAGGCTCGAAACACATTTTCTCACAAGTGTTCGTATCATGTTGCTCATAATAACTAAGAGTGCTATACGTAGGGGTCTGTACCAGGAAGGGCCAAAGAGGTGTCCTTTTTAGCAAGTACACCATGTGTTTTTGTGACATGCTGGTGTTCTTGGTACGTTCATTGCTACCTTTTCCGCGAAGCTTCATTATATAATTATTGTAACAAATCTTTCTTAGGACAAAAGAGGTTGAGCTCTGTGATGAGTGTAGTACAACAGTGCGGTGTTGTTGGTGTGTTCTGGGTGCGGTGCGGTTGTGGTGTCACGAGTGGTGCAAAAGTGGTGGGGTAACGCGGCAGCGGCATCACACAACAGACATGTGCACAACGAAAAGAAGGACGACGTTGGCGGGTCACGGCACGGCACGAGGTGAGCGGACGAGGGAAGTCGGACGAAACACAGTGAGAAGCTGGCAGGGAGACGGAGAAGAGGAAGATGACGATGGGCTGGAACATGAGGCAGTGAGACCCGGAGCTTTCATGGCCAGTACCCTAGAGTGGGTATGTGCCAGTGATCACAGGCAACAAACACACACACACACACTAACAAACAAACAAACGGAAAAGCCAGAGCGACACGACGCTGGTGCCAGGGTTTGTACAGTCAACCCTCGGGGGCGAGTGCGTAGGGCCTGACAGCGTCGAAGGGTCTCCGCAACCGAGTCACTCACGGTTCCTGCTGCCGCGAGCTTCGCCCGACTCGACCCAGGGTCTGCTTCCCGCCTCCGTACGTGGTCAAGGGGTTCACCGGACTGCTGTGCTTCTCAGCCTATTTGTCTCCTCGTCCGCTCCTCGAGTGCCCATGCCGCCGACTCACCGTGTCCGCAACGACTTCACCTGCCTAGTCACCGCAAGCATCACAAGAACCAGTGCCGGCGTTTTTTCCTTTGGAAAGTTCAATGGAAGCTTGTATCGTGATGCCGGTCACACTAGAATTTTCGTGAACCATGCTTGAAATTACCTATTTCAGGTGGATGCTTGTATTTCTTTCAATCTATCTCTTTTTCCCGTAAGTTGTATAGTTATGTTTTTTGTGTTGTTTTAAAAATGGCTTCTCCCTTTCTACTTTGAGGCTTGGCTTCTAATAAAACAATCACAACTCTAAAACCTGCACAGCAAGCTTTTATAAAAGCCTAAATTTACAAAGAGTGCTAGAGAAATGCCGATGTAAAATTATTCTGCAAAATGAGGAGGACGAAAACGGGTTGTAGATGAAAAAAACAGGCGGGAAAGCACCATATTGCACCCACATTTGTTTTATGTATAGGTACTTGAAGAGTACACTAGTGCTTTTTTTTTAGCTGGAACACTTAATACTCAGCACAGAAAAAAACTAAAATAACCAAACGAATGAGCAGCAGAAAATGTGTTTATATGCCACGAGAATTTTAGTAGTTCTACACACGTATAAAGTGTAGCACAGAAGTCACTAAAAGAACTCGAAGCGATAACAATAGTGCAGCAAGCAAGTGAATACACATGGTATTCTGAGAACGTGAATGTTTGGGATTTCGCAGGAGAGATGGCACCGTACAGGGATATCAACGCTAGTATGAACGTTGAGTATGTTGCTAATAGGTGTTTTTTTGCAATTAATTGAAAAGCCATGAGTGGCTTTTTGTGTAGCCCTACCCATCACCCGAGATTCTTTTATAAAAATATGTGTAAGCGGTCAATGCGTGAACATGATTAAATCCACCTTTACTTTCCGTCCCGTCGGTTTATGACGTGGACACTCAAGAAGAAGGAGCTTTTGTGAGAGTGGGCAAAACGGCATTGCAGGCAAGCCGCATGTTGAGTTCTGTGCAAAAATGTTACCAATGCACACGCCGGCAAGCCGGAGACGGTGCAAGAAAGCTACAGAATTCGTACTGTCGCACCACTCTGATGGCTCATATGAAACGGACAAGTTAACGTAACGGTAAGTATGAGCACTTTGACTTTCGATGAAATGAGGGTTTTGTGTAAATCGACAGGAAGTATTCTTCAGGAACAGGCGAACATGGTTAGGCATCAGATATTCAATGCACACTGATTGCAGTACACTTGTTTCACAGCAGCGTCCTCGACGAGTTTTCAGAAACATTTCCATGCCCACTGATACGGCATAAGCATCATTTTTTGTTTACCTGGGTTTTGCATCTTTCAAGCCTTCTGTATCCTAAATCTCTTCTCTATGCATTTCGGTTTGTGCTCTGTATTGTGCCTGGTGCGACTTAGATATCAATAAATAGCATTTGCTTACGATCTCTGGTAGCGCTATGAGTGTCAGACACAAACAATCACATTACTCTGTGCATGATGGTAGAAAAAGGAGCTTCGTGTAAGAAACGTTCTAGCTTCAGATATTTTGTGATGTATATGGACGCTGACGAATTAGTTTGGCAAGAGAAATCTCTATAACACGGATATACTGTGCACATGAGTAGTGAATCTGTAGGAAGGGCTACGCAGTAGTTACTGCAGGCCCATAATCAAACAGTCTGTCTTGTATATGACTCTCGCATACAATTTCATTTTTTACATTACCCAGAAAGAGAGTTTGAGATGCATAACTTATATTTCACATATAGTTCATACAGACATATATGATCCCGAAATATTTCAATTTCACTAATGTTTGTGTGGTCAGTGTGCTCATTGTGTTGGGTTATAATGTTATTCGCGTGGCTTTAGAAAGTTTGTAAAACATTAATAAGTTGTGGATTGTGGTCGTAAGCGACCACAACAGGATTCAAGGTTGCTAAGGCGAAGGCACGGCATATTTATTCTCTTTGGTTATAAACGTTGGAGCCTCCCCTATTAAATATGCGACAAGAAGTAAAAAATGAGCGTCACTTATACCTATTCAATGTTTTCTGCTTGATAAGTGGATTATTAACTTACAGTAGCAATGGAACAATTTTTTTTGAGTCAGTCGACTAAGCGGCGAGAAATTTTGATAACAAAGTTCACTTTGGTAGTTCATGTGTGCGTGAAAGCCATCGACACAACTGACGACTGATAGCTAGGAGAGTAACACTATTAGGGGATGATTTGCTAAATTTATTTTAATGGTCGAAATTGTTCTGTTGCCGTCTAGTACCAGTTGTTTGAGTGCAGGAGAGAAATCTTTAAATTGAAAGTTGCCGTGTAATGTTTCTCTAAGCTGACGTCATATGCGTGCAACGAATACCATATATCAGCCAGAAGTGTCTGCAGGAAATATATCGTCATTTCGACTTCTACCTGGAATCCTTTCAAGTGAAAACTGCACTGCCCCTATAGGAGTAAATGGGGGTACACAGAAAGCTGGGTAGAGGGTGGGAGTGCGAAATCGAAAAAGGCTTCTTTGTAGGATAACTCATTTGACAATACATATTATGCGCTACAAATGGTGAGTGCATTGTACAACCTGCAAATCGGCCCAATGGGATCTTCCCTTTCATGGTAGCCGCCTTTTCCGGGTATTGCTCCCAAACGGCCACGCCCATGGCGGTGTTGGTAACGGTCGGATTCACCGAATTCACGCGAATCTGCGTAGGTAAAAGACAACTAAACTAAAACAACAACTAAACAACTGAACCAAACAACAAGTAATCTATCTATCTATCTATCTATCTATCTATCTATCTATCTATCTATCTATCTATCTATCTATCTATCTATCTATCTATCTATCTATCTATCTATCTATCTATCTATCTATCTATCTATCTATCTATCTATCTATCTATCTATCTATCTATCTATCTATCTATCTATCTATCTATCTATCTATCTATCTATCTATCTATCTATCTATCTATCTATCTATCTATCTATCTATCTATCTATCTATCTATCTATCTATCTATCTATCTATCTATCTATCTATCTATCTATCTATCTATCTATCTATCTATCTATCTATCTATCTATCTATCTATCTATCTATCTATCTATCTATCTATCTATCTATCTATCTATCTACCTATCTATCTATCTATCTATCTGTCTGTCCCCCAGCCCTAAGTCCGTCCTATGTTTGTCCGTCGTGATTCTGTCGTGGTCGTTTGTTGATCAACTTGGTATATCCGAATGCATACACATGGCATGACACGCACCCTTGACAAAGACGAATTACATGTGAGGACGTGAGTTGCATAAATGAAAAGATTCTTACGGACTTTTTCAAGAAGTGGCACATCAAAACGTGTCTGACAAGCATTATACATGATCCGACATGACTATAGCGTGTCATGACAAGTACCTCATTAACTTACATTAGCTTACATTAACACTCCGGCTGATGTTGGCTAGTTTTCACCTAATGTCACCTAGCAATCACTAATGTTAGGCAACATGCATTTAATGTTGGCATACGTTGACTAACTTTTGTCGAATATTTGTCAAATGGAATCTAATTTTTCTAAAATAAGGCTATTACTGGCTGGCTGCTGGCTAACATGACTGGTACTCGCTATAGTTGACTATTGCATCAAAAGGGATGTAATAAATAACCTATATGTACTACTATGCGTATACCTGTCTTGATCACATAATTCTCATAATACGATTCATATTGGAAAAATTTGCCGATAATTTTGAAGCTTTTAGGATAGACCTTGACATTCACTAACATAAATAGACATCAATTTTTTTTGCGTCAGAGGACTGCAAAGACGACAACGGCTATTGTGTCCGTATATTGTAATATAATGCACATTAAAGGCATTTTTTTTTGCATGAACCACAAAATCATTCTCTGAAACAGCTCATTAAACGAAAACTGCATAATGTTGCCACCTTCTCTCGAACAAAAAACCAGCCCTTCGACGGGGATGGGTGTTGCGATGAGCTTTACCAGGAGAATAAATTAGTGTTGAACGTTGGACGCATGTCAGGTCTTTGGCACGCAGTGCCATTTAATGTAACATTGCTTCACTTGAGCCAAATAAACCTGTTGCACAAGCACAAAACGGCACACTGAACTAGTCTAATTACTGCCTTAAAATACCCATGATTTAAATGACTCTTCGTTTGCTGCTCTGAAAAAAACCGGGAACTTGCGGTGGTGGCGGGCCTGCAACCGAATCGCTGTTGAAAAAACTGGCCCCGTATCTGCATGTTACATCGTCTTTAAAAACCAACCAAGCCGGTCAAAGACCACACCGGTGGCAATCCTATAACTGCATGGGGTGCTTCTGCATGGCCACGCTTACATGGCTATGTGTGCGCTGCATTGATCACAACTCTTATAACTTGTATGTGATTTTGCATAAGCACTACACATTAAATGCGAAGAAAAAGTCGTCCACCTGTGTGTTTGAGACGCCTTGGCGTTTTCCCCAACCAGATTCTGCTGCGACACGCCTTTTTTCATAGTTTGTCACCAGAATTTCTGGACTGAAGTGAACAGTGACGAATTTCTTGCGTGCCCGGCGGACACATTTCTGATATCGTCGGGATCGGGGCATTTCATTTGGCGATTATTATCTAAGAATACGAGATTTTGTCAAAATAATAAAAAATGGGTTTCCCATAAATTTTGATCTTCTACGACTTTTGAAAACTATCCTCAAGTTAATACGTAAAAAGTTAGTTAACGAATATTTGTTAATAAATAATCTCAATATAACTTTAGGGGCGGCAAAATATTTCTGCAATAATGAAGATTTCGCGTTTTAATACAAAAAGTGCTTGGTTGCATGTAATGTTTTTTCGTAGAAAATCTGTATTGTCTTAAAAAAAAACGCCCTGTATAGAGGGCGATGAGAATGCTGCCGCTGTTAAACTATGTAAGGATGATAGGTTATGAATTGATAACGATCAACACAGTAAAGAAATAGCCATTGACATAGATTGTTTTCTGACATCGGCGGTATTTATTTATGGTCGAAATTTTGTTATAAATGCATAATTGGTATGCATTTATTGGTAGACCAAGTTACCCGTATGACATGAACACGCTTTCATCGTTTCGATGAAGTGTGGCATTTTCACCCGTCTCCCCCGATCTTTAGTATTCGCTCTCCCTTCCCAGCCCCATTTAACTCCTATTGGCTCGATAATACACTGTATGGTTAACATGTCATTTTTCGAAACGATTTCTTGTTCCCACACATTTTACTCCCAGATCAGCAAGAGACAAGAATTCCCTCACCCAACTACATACCGAACGCAGTCAATCAAGGTTCTTTTAAAAAGAAGCATCATCAAGCCTGCTGTAAATAAAAAGAAAACATAAAAAGGAAACAAATATGCGTAATCGTTGGTTGGTCTATTTGTTGACTTTGCTTCAACTTTGTAACATATTTATTATTGCGTTTTTATTATTCCACTCTGCGTGCGTCTCTTCTGCGTAATGTGAATGAAGTCTGAGGGCACTCTACAAGAACGAATGAAGCAATAAATAAATAAATAAATAAATAAATAAATAAATAAATAAATAAATAAATAAATAATAAATAAATAAATATGATTTAGAACAAGCACGCCACACCTGGCGAAATATGTAGCCGGAAGAAGACACAGATGACACGGCACGGATTCCAGGCAACTACGGCCTGGCGATCGTGGCGCGATCTGCCCCGAGGTTACTTACATTATTCAAAAATAACAATTCACAGCAACTAAGAGGCAAAGACTTACGCTTTTGCGGATATTCACTGTTCGCAAGATAGCATTACGTAGAAAAAAATACATATACTGATCTGTCAAGTGTCACCCCGTCTGAGCACCTGTACAGTATAGATCTTTCTTTGTTCAAAAGGTTTTAAATTGACACTTGGTTTAGATTGACGAAACGTACTCTGAGAACTGTAATATCACAGGTTTCGCTATCATAAGTTCATTATTAGCGGGAAAAATCAAAGGTTGAATTTTCATTTTTTTTTCAAATTCGCGGCAAAACCTTTGCATGTGACATCACTAATTTCAAAATGCATTTTTCGTATTTTCTTGACATGGGCTCAATGAAATTTTCTGAACCTTAATATGTTAAAGCTATGACACGCGAAAATTATAATTCGCTTCATTTTCGCCATTTAAAAAGTGCGCAGGACGCTGTACATCCGTTAAAATCAATGACGTCATGGCGTTTGGTGCGGGATTGTCAAGGTGAGATCTCCACCCCCATTTTCTGTTCGCGTGATTTTTCGCTTTTCTTTCTTCAGCGTTTGTTTTATGTGCATGTGCGTCACATCCAACATTCACTTCGTTTCCCTTTCATTATATCATTCTCTTTCGGCCATTTCATTACAGGCTAATCTGTCTGTATTTTATTACCTTTCCTCCTCTCAAGATCTGAATATACGAAATATCAGTCTACCATGGACCAGGTCACTATTCAAGTGTGCAAGTAATGCCATTTTGTGTCCACTTCGCGTCCAATGTGGGATGAACTTTCTAGAGAGTCAACCCAAATCATACTTGTTATATAAGTGGTAATCATCCGGAGATGTATTGGCGCTTACTTGCACTCACCATTTCCAGAATTCGTTTTCGACAAGTATCGCTATATCCATTTGTCGGGCTTCTTTTGGTAGCTTAGTTTATCATCTACTAGTCACCGCATAGGTGTCTGCATTCAAAAAGGGTGTTCCCTACATAATTGTTAAGGGTTTAGAAGCTAGTTAATAATAAAGAACTACAACGAAACAGCACCACCATCATTGGTTGAGCTTTGTGTACCAGCTTATCTGCGTTATTAAGGTAGCTTCTAGCAAAAACCACACACACACACAAAAAAACAACACGTTGAATTAGTCTCTGCAATGACTCATGCAAGAGAAATGAGAAAGTGATACCTACATTGTATGGGCCCAGCTCGAGCGCCATGACTCTGGTAAGCATGTCGAGGGCAGCCTTACTGCCACAGTACACAGCATGCTCAGGTAGCGCCACAAGTGCGGACTGGCTCGATACATTCACCACGGCCCCAGGCACTCCTCGGGATTTCATGGATCGCACGCACATCTACGCAAAGTGGAGGTACACTCTGTTGGTGTCATAGTAATATTGCCATGCATGTTATTATCACGTGCTCGGTTTCAACCCACAGAAACTGTCAGGATTGCTCGGCGCAGATCGCGCCTCAGTGTTCGAGTGGCTTCACAATTCTAGTAGATGACTTTTTTTAATATTGTGTGCAAGACGTTAACACTAAAGCTTACTTCACAGCTTGCGCGACCATGAGTGATAAGGCTAGAAACTTAGACGTGTGGTTTATAAAAGATGGTGCGACCCAGTTGTGATCAATTGATCGACGGTCGATGCTCTATTCACCGCTATCAGTGCAAGTGTGTATTGCTGGAATCTGAATTTCCGCTTACGGTTCACAAGTTCATCCAAATAAACAGTTTAATCTTGGACATACCAGCTGCTGCCGTCGTAAACGTCATGACCACGTGAGAATATTACAGAAGAAAAGCCCACGAGAGGGATTGGGAAGTAGACTGAAAGAAGGCCACACTAAAAAGGACAAAACATTGCGTTCAACTTGTGTTGAAATGAGTGGAGCCATACCTGGCTATTAAATGTAGTCGAGCTGACAAGTGCCATGCTATCTACCATGCCGTTTTGATATGAAATGAAAGGACACAGACTACTGTGTTTTCCTTTCTTTTGCTTTCTTGGAAGGTGCCGTCCCTTTCATGAAACTTTAATACCACACCACTTCGTGAAGGACCGGTCAGGCAAGGGACTCCTTGGTGTAGCTTATGGTTCGGCTTCACATTATAAAGGTTAAAAATATGGACGAATACGACAGAAAGCACCTGAACTAACGTATGTTATTTACGCTTATGATGTCAGTCTGTACAAGAGGTGAAGAAATCGGCCATCTTTAACACCTAATTAAATGACGCACTTGAAAACCCGTAATACTGTATTTATGACGAAACAAGCACTAGGTGTGCTTGTTTATATTGTAAGTAAACGAAGTGTAGAATGATCGGCTGTAGAATTTATTAACGTGACGAAAACGGTTGGGGCGCCTTTTATTTAAAAAAAAGTTGTTGCGCGATGATCTCTTTGACTACACTTAATTACTATTAAGTGTTACTTAAAAATTTCGAACATTATATTCCCATATTATTAAATGAAATAACCTGTATTGCACAGTTTCTATCGAATATAAATCAACACCTTCTCGTGCAGTCAGTCCCGAGTGAAAAATAACTGCAAGAGAATTAGCGGCGTTGAATGTCCCAAGACCACCATATGATTATGAGAGACACCGTAGCGGAGGGCTCCGGAAATTTTGACCATTTGGGGTGTTTTAACGTAATATGTGACCCGTGACCTGCAGGTCAGTAACCGAGTGCCTTAGGCACTAGACCACCACGGCGGCGAAAATACCCACAGCACACTCATTGTACAGAACAGGGCTTCTCATATTGTCATTCTACATATCATACCATATTGTCATTACACCATACAAGCTTTATGCCTAGCTCACAGGAGCCAAATATAAAAACGTTGATTTGAATTCTGTACGTTCACCTAAATATCACTGATGTGCCTATGAGCCAACGTTTCAAATTTTCTGTTTCATAATCTAAATTTTGGGACCATCACCTTACTTCAGATCAAATGCAGATTACCGATGTTACCGTGTAATTCACTCCACTTGCTGGGCCCATTCAAAAGAAGTGGAATACTACTAGAAACGTTCAGCATACAAGGCAGAAAAAATGTATTAAAGCAGCTTTTTAGTAAAGTATTTGCCACCTTTACGGAAGAGCTGTCAGTCATTGTTATAGTTTGTAGAAAAGGTACGTTCACACCGTGCTTCGAACGGAATGCTCGTGTGTGCGCTTTGATCTATCACCAATAACACCGTGATTTAACTAGAAAATATAAGTGTATTCTCTAAAATAATGTGTTGTTTTTGTTTTTTACTACTTTGCCAACTTCGTTATAACCTTTAAAAGAAGATGTAACTCCGCAATGACACTGTTGAGCGCGGGGAAAATGAAACATTGAGCCTGTACACTATCCTTAAAACATTGTGATGGATGGGTTCAAAAAGAGCGTGCTGGACAGCGCACGACTTGTTGTTTGTAACATGGCAGCGTTGTGCATTCCGTTGAGCACTTGTTTACTGCTTTTGTGCGTAGTACCCCTGTTTTCCCCGTGCATGGCCACGATCCGTTACAAACAGTCAACTACAGCCCATGAGTAAATGCATGAAGCTGTCATTTGTGCTCTACTTGTCCTCAGCGCTGTTTCAAGAGCACTTACAAGATGTTTTAGCACAACCAAATCAGTGTAGTGAAGCAGGTAATGTTTTTTTATGTTAGAGAGCAAATGCATATCTGCTATTAGCTCCACCTGGCTCCTCCACCCCATTGCAAGCTCAGCTTGCTATGGGAAACCAGCAATGTCATATGCCAGGATATTCTTCATATCTGAACACTGAGTGTGAAGTTAGTGTACGGAATGTCTAGTGGTGAGCGTGCAGTAATCGTCAAAACGGTAATAAGCGCTAGTTAGTTTTATTCACAGCAAAAAAGACACAGAAAAAAACGCATAGGATGGGCACAAGACATCAACTTATGTTTTGTTGGAATACAACATAACAACCCAGAAACCATCGGACACCAGCGCATGCGCCCCATCACACTTTGAAGAGCGATCTTACATCCGCAACTTCACGTGTTACCACCTTACATGCGCTAGAATCGCTTTCAAATACTCAATTTCTTTACGGGACAAGGCGACCGAAGTAACACTGACAGATTTCCTTTGACTCTCGCTGGTTGCAAATGCTTCTATCATTTCTCGCGTTGCCTGATCCTTACCTTTTCTAAACACACGTGCAGTGAGGAAATCTGGAGCACACTCACAAGGCCGATAGACATCAGTTGAGATCTAGCACCCATCCTGTTTATGTGTTCCTTCTGTGTCAGCGTCTTGTTCTTTTTTCGCTACGAATATGAATACAAGTACCAAAATCCTCATCGATCAAGCAGAACTAAAGGAACGGGACATTGAATACGATCGCTTTTAATGGGCTTGCTCAAACGTACAGCGCATTAAGGCAATTTTGAATTTTTTTTCAAACACCCTAAGGGCCTTAGTAGGCATTACATAGTGGAGTTAAAATAAAATAAAGCTGTTACAAGTGCAGCACACAGATTGATTAAAAGTAAAAAGATTGATATAAATAGATATAAATATACACGTACTCTGATATACCCATGCATACACATTTAGACATACCATTACATAACAGAGCGCTAATTCAATGCAGATAAAAAAAAGTACAATTAAAAAATAAAAAGATGAAAGAACAGAGAAAACAACTTGAAGGAAAAGTGTTTGCACTGCTCAAAGAACAAGAAAACGATACACTCAAAAGATAATTATCGCTGATTGAAATACACTCTGCAAAGAGTAAGAAAACAAGTATGTACAAGAAAAATAATAGCGTTCAGTAAAATAACTTTTAAGATTATTTATGAAACCTTCAAGATTTAGAGAAGAAACGATGTCGTAAGGTAACTTGTTTGAATTATATATTGCAGGAAAAGAGTGAGATTTACTTCAGAAGTTAGTGCGAAAAAAAAAACGGGTTGTACAAACGGGTGATCAAGACGCGGAAAGATACGTAGGCGACCCTGATGTGGCACGTGGTGAACCAAGATATTGAGTGATAAAGTTTATGAAAATGAGATACAAGGGAGATGGATCTGTATTATCTAGTTTATTTATTTATTTATTTAGAACATACTGCGGTCTTGAAAAGACCAAACAGGAGAGGCACAAAAATTAAGTGTAAAACACACGTAAGCGGGATAGATGAATGATGTGCGCAAAATACAAGAAGATAAGTACAGTGTACAGATATATATAGATGAGCTTAAACACAGGATAATAAGACCATCAGAACAACGGAGATGGATCTATCTTCCTATTATACATTCACAATTGTGATAAACAGTAAAACAAGTCGAGTACAGACTACAGTACAGACAATATGGCAAGTGAGCTTATAGACAAGTGAGCTTAGATTTAGAAAGTTTTTTAGGTCAGTTACACTAGATTTTCGCTAATAATATTTGGTAATGAAGTGGGTAGCTTTATTTTGAATTGTCTCAAGTTTGTTGATAAGGTCAGGCTGCGGCGGGTTTAAAATAAAAGCTGAATATTATAATTTTGCGCGAACTAATGTCGTATAGGCCAATATTTTAGTAGACTTGTTTACCAAGTAAAGGTTTCGCCAGAAGAAGCCAAGCGTTTTGCATCCGCTACTACAGATTGCTTCGATATGGTCATTCCATTAAATGTTGAAAGATAAATGAACTCCTAAGTATTTTATTGTTAGCGTACGCGAAATGATAGTGTCCCCTATCGAAAAATGGGCAACAGTGGGATTATACACCCTAGTGAAAGCTACAGCTTTGTTTTCGAAGCATACATTTCCATTTGGCACTGTTTACCCCAATCGGTAATTTTGGTAAGGTTGGATTGCAAAGCATCACCATGCGAAGTGTTAGTTACTCGTCTATAAACTACGCAGTCGTCTACGAATAGTCCAACTGTGAATAAGATGTTGTTGCTGATGTCATTTACATATAGCAGGAATAAAACATGCCCCAATACAGAGCCCTGAGACACCCCTGATTTGAACAGGGATTGTGAGAAAGGTAATTTATTGGCAGTAGCAAATTGGTATCTTCTTATTCGGAAATTTCTTATCCAAATCGCAACCTAACTCCGTATATCATAATAGCGCAGCTTAAGTAATAAACGATTATGAGCTACCTTATCGAACGCCCTGACCAAGTCGATAAAAATGGCGATGATGATAAAAAGCAGCTCCCACCTGCTGTGGGGGCACAAGGCGCGCACTGATCGTTACCGCGATAGCGCAGCATAACCATAGCCCCCCCCCCCCCTCTTGTTCGCTGGTGTGATAAGCGGGCGTGGACAAGCCTGGCCGGAAAGGCGCTGTTCGCTCCACAGAAAGA